ATTTCTATCCTTTTATAGAAATCGTTTTAGAGATATAGGGTAAATTTACAGGAATAGGAATATATGAATTACATTAGATTAGGGATATTTTTATAGAAAAAGTCAATTATGCTGGAAAGTGTTATTACTTTATAAACAGAGCTAGAATGAAGTAGATTATATATAGCTGATTTTAGTAGCTAAGATATAGCTCATTTCAAACACATGCTGCATTTCAGAAATATATTTTTTCCAATATATATATATAAAGCTGGGAAACTCCATCCATTCCCTTCCCCCTTTTGGGAAAATACTCTGGTGAACTTTAGGATAAGATCTTTTATGTTGAAAGAGAAAACAGGTCTACATTTTCTGTTTGGGGAATTTGGTTTTTCTCTTTTGTACTGTGTGGTTACTCATGTTGGAGTAACCCTGTATAGAACTATAATCTAGTTACAGATCATTGTTATTAGTGTCAATGATAATTACACCATATAGCTTGATGGTTTTATAGTTTTTAGAGTGTTTTCCCATATTTTATTTAAGATGCTCTGCAACTCTGAATGGGGGCACAAGACAGGAGTGTGTATATGTGTACACACACACACACACACACAGAGAGAGAGAGAGAGAGAGAGAGAGAGAGAGAGAGAGAGAGAGAGAGAGAGAGAGAGAGAGAGAGAGAGAGAGAGAGAGAGAGAGAGAGAGAGAGAGAGATTGGGTTTTTTTGTTTGGTTTATTTAAACAAAGAAAAACAGGTAATGTTTGCCCAAAATCACATAGATGATAATTGGAACTAGGATGCAAACCCCCATTTTGGATTTCTAATCTAGTGCTCTGCATTCATCCCATCTACCCTCAGCACTGAGGTTCTGACAATGAATGTCATAATATATAATAATCTTTCTGAATATATTCGATAGAAATGAGAAGGTGTGGGGCAATGAACCTGGACCAAAATACAGAGAAGGGAAGGAATCCTGTTCTCATTGGGATGCCTTCCCTTTAAGTATCTGAAAGATGGATGGAAGCTGACCCTAGAATGATAACCAACTTCATCAAGTTTTCCTGGGTGATGATCTCCAGTGATGAATCAGAGGTGTTTTCTCTGGAAACTAGGTGGTGGCTGATGCCAAATGAAATATTGTTCAACTGAGAAAGAGATGGAAATGCATCCATTAGCTATTTCCAAAGCTGATTTCCCTTCCTGTCATCTGTATCTATCCCTTCTCCATGCTCAGCCAGGTTGTTGGGGGTTCTGTGCAAAAGCCAGGCTCCCCTCTGGCATCTCCTCAGCCTCCTGATCTTCCCACTTCCACTCTTGGCACTTGAGAGCATGCACTCCTTCTCTCTTCTTCTTCCTTTCCTGACAATCCTGTACTTTAACCCCAGGGTAGGAACAAAGTTTATCTTCACAAAAAATTGAGGACTCTTCCCACCACACAGTCATTGTGGACAGATTAGACAGGGCAAGAAGGCAGTGAGATAGAAAGCACTTTCTTTCTTATTTTCTTCCCTTCTGTTTCCTTCTTTTTGCTTTTCTTTGCTTAGCTAGCTAGTCTGGTGTGTTCCTCAGCTAGCATGTGATTTTGGGGTAGCTTGCTGGCTGTATTTTGAAAGCTTGCTAAGGCCTGGCCATCTAGGATTATCCCTGTTATTTCCAAACTTCACTTTTGCTTCTGCTTCTAATTATCCAGACAGTCTAAAAAGATCACTATGACTCAATATGAATTGCATTTATTTATTTCCATTGCCCTGGAGCCTGGCTGATATATTGGTTGGATCATTTGAAAAGCAGATACCAAGATAGAGGTAAAATTGGAAGAGATGATGGGAGCAGGATATAATCCTTGGGAGAGATAAAAGGGAAAGAAAGCAAAACAAGGCAAAAAAAATTAGGTATTAAGGGCACTAGACTGTGGTGCAGCTCCCCGAAGAGTTTTCCTAATGGTGAGCCCTTGAACCACTTCTGTGCTCATTCATTGATCGGGGGTATTCAGTTAGTGCATAATCTCAGTTTGAATACTTAGTAAAATTCTGAAGACCCCCTACAGACAGAGATGGGCAGTAGTTTTAATCTTGAAGATTGATCTAAATTGTGCACTTGCATAGCTACCACAGCTGGGCAAAGGGAAGTAGATGGTGACAGCAAGCTAAGTACCTACACTATATGTGAGCGGCTAGATCAAGTGGATTCATCCATGCATCTTTCCATCCATTCATTCATCCACTCATGTATTGCTTTAGATGACAGCAGCAATCTGTCAAAACTTCTGTCAGAACCTGTTGTTAGAAATCAAATCTAGATTTTGCCTCTTCTGCTACAAAGACCACCATCTCTGAGCATCAACCAGTATGTATCTCCACCCAATCTGCCTTCATCCTTTCTTGTAACCGTTGATCAATCATCGGAGACGAAGCCCTTAATTATACCTTCATTGCTGCTAGTCTGACATACCTCTTGCTTGAATCCTACTAGTACTTTGCTCTCCTAGATGGATTATAATTCAGGTTTTAGGCCCTGTGATTCAGTGTTCCAAGCATAAAACCTACACAGCAGGTGATGAGGTTTATTGCAATGTCCTTGTGTTCAGGGTCAATGCCAGCAACTAAGGAGCAGCAGAGGCAGTGAACTGATTTGGCTGTGTGCCTTCTAGTTCTTAAGTCCCTGAAGTTGTTTACCTTCCAAATGACCCTGGCCTTTGGTAATATCTCATAGCAGCCTCTCTCCAACTAATATGGCAACCAGCCATGCAACTTTGAGTCTGGAGAAATCAGGGGTATTATTTTGAGAGCACATTACTTGAGAGGATGAAGATAGTGGAAATGTGTAGGAATTGGCAGATATTAGGAAGAAGTTGTTTTTTAAAAATAAATATTTCTGCCAATTAGAATCTAATCTTCCTCTAAAAGTCTCTAAGGTCCTTTCATTTCTTTCAGTCCATTACTTAGATATCAAAGAACACAGTCTCACCACAATAGAGACCAATTCCTCCCCACCCCCCTTTTTTTTTTTTCCTAGAATGATGTTTATATTTTGGCAGGCCTTCTCTCATGTGGCTTAAAGAACCACATGTGTTTGGAGGCATTCAATCAAGTAGTTTAAAGAGCATAAAACTTGCAGTAATATTTTTGGGAGTAAATTTTATTGTTATGGCTTTAAAACACAATCAAATAAAAACAAGAATTCCATTAGTAGTTGAATATTGCAATAATAGAGTTGAAAATAAATTTTATAGCTATAGGAACTATAAAACAGCAATAATAAAAAAACACTATTATTGTGAATAAATTGTATTGAGATGACTAACTAGAAAGCTATAAAACACAACGATAAGGAATAATCTAATCACCAGGAAAGATGTGATAATAATTCACCCTTGTTAGCAAGGAGCCCATGGTTACAGTTCATTGACCCCAGTGTTCTGGGTTACCGCTTGCATTCCATAAGGTTATAGAAAGATAATCTTTGGCCAGTGGGGTTGGCAGGAGACCACATATTACACTGAAATTGGACATGGGGATTGAGGAAAATCCAATTATCAGTGGCTGTTAGGAAAAACCCCATGTAATAATGCCAACGTCCTCACAACACATTTTAAAAATTATTTGCAGTTTCCTGCTGACCATTTGTATGTATTATTTGACTGTGCATTTCATGTATTTTTATTTTTGTTCCTTTGTCTCATAATGACTGTATGGAAGGGCATTTGCTGGAGGTGTTATGGTAACCTTGCTTTTTATTTAGACTATCCATATATCCTTCTGCCCTGAGTCCATCTTGAGTTTCTATTCTAATGAGCAGGAAATGAAAAGAAGGCACCCTCAAACTTAGGTCCTACTCCTTTATGTGGAACTGACTCTCCATTAAAACCCTTGCTCCAGAATTAGTACCACTCAGATGCCTTCATGAGGGGAAGGGTGCTGTGGGGGGTGCATTTTACTCCTTGTTCAGAACATCAAGGTTTAAATTCAAGATTGCTGAATTAACTATATCCTAAGAAGATGATGGAAGATTGGAGAGTGCAGCTTCCCTTGGGGAGCTTTGTCTTAGGTAAGCTATTCGGAGTTACTGCCTTCACCTTCTTACTCCTCTTTCCTTCTGTAACCAGCTCCAGTCAGGCTTTTGCCCCTGTGATGTGTTTACTGAAATAGCTCTAATCAAGGTCTCCAGGACACCTGATGGAGTTAGTTCTAGGACTTTGTCTGACTCCACTTTTTAGCATTTGACCCCGTGAATAATTCTCACTTTCTTGAAGTCCTTTCTTCACTTGAGTTCTGGGGCACAGTGGGATTCTAGGTGGCAAAGGACTTCATTTAAATCCTCTACCTGTTCTGTATTCAGGTTGATCTTGCTCAAGTAGATCTTTGGCTGCAAACTGACTTGGTTTTTAATGGTCATTGGTTTGAGACTTAGGCATGTCTGAAAACACAGTGTGGTGTCTAATAGAGTCCTTTATGTGAGACAAAGGAGGGGGAAATCACCTAAGGAATTTAAACTGTTTTCACTGTTCACATCTGGATAGACCTGGGTTTGCACAAGAAGTGGTCCATCAGAACACGAGAAGGTACTTGATCCTGAACAAGCCTTAGATTGTGAGAAGGAGTGGATTCTGAATAAATGACCATGCCCACCATGACAAGAGTAAAAGACACTCCATCTCCTGGGTCCAGCAGGCCTGCATGGAAGGAGAAGCAGTAGTAGTGGCTCCTGAGCACAGGCCACAGGGATTCTTAGAAACACAGATGGGACTTTATTTGTCCCATATTGGGTTACATAAATGCTGAGGAAATTTACTCTGGGGTCTGGTAGAATCAAGAGCTTGTATAAATTGGCTTCTAGAGGAGAAATGAGATATAAAGTGGTAAAGTGTTTTCCACGGTTCAAAAATGTGTTTGAGGACATGATGGAGTTAATGAAGCAATTGCTCAATTGTTTCTGCTGAGGTATCCATTGACTGTTATCTTATCTTGAGCCAAGGTCTTGCTTGATGCATTCTCAGAGACACTGAGTTACTGACCAGAAATAGAGGCCCAGGATTTTCTAGCTCTGTCTGCAGAAGAATGAAGCTACTTCTTGGGACCCTTTACCTTTTGGGGATGCTGGTTCCTAGGGGGCTGGGATATGATAGGTGAGTGTGAAGTGGGAAGAGGGACTTTTATGATTTAGACTGTCTAAATGGAAATTTTTTTTCAAGATCTGTGCAGCTAGATTCTTCCCACTTCTGATGTATGTGCACCACCAAAATAACAGTGATTTGGGGGTTCTATCATGGAATATTACTCTAATAATTCTTTACTAAATAAATATCTCACAAACATTTCCTAGAACAATTTATGACAAATACCAATAGCTATCTCATGTTTTATGATTGGAGAGAGGAAATTATAATAAAAATTTTACTTCTCCTATTTTCATAGTTTCTCAACTGGTAAATCACATTATTCTAATTATTAAGAAAAGTGTTTATAATTATCAAATAATTTCACCTGGAATAATTACTGTTAACATTTTGGATAGATAGATACCTAATTATGTTTATGGTACTATTACTGAAATTTTTCAGTTAAATTCCTTTGAAAAGATTTTCCTGTGGTATTTGTAATTAATTTAATAAAACCTTCTGCAATTGCTGTTTTCTCATTAATTTCTGTCTTCTCATTTTTACAAAGAATGCCATGCTGAGTAACCAGCTAAATAATTGTTTAATTTCCAAATTTTTATTTTCCTAATATGTTATAAAAAGTGAAATCACTGGGTCAAAGTGAAAAATATCCACTATTGACTTTCTTTGTACTTTGTTGATTTTAATCAGGTGAAATACTTTGTCTTATTCATTACTCAGTTTTTTGAACTCTATTTGCCATTCACGTCATTTGCCCTTTTTTGGTGCTTTGCCTATTCTTAAGGGATCATAACTTCTCTAAATATATAACAAATGTTAATCTCTCTCTCTCTCTCTCTCTCTCTCTCTCTCTCTCTCTCTCTCTGTGTGTGTGTGTGTAGTTTCATTAATAAAGTATATTTTCCCTTATTCATACATAGCTCATATTTCCCTCCTTTGCCATATTTCATGAACTATGTGTGGTTCATGAACTATCCATGGTTCATGATCAAAGTAATCTTGCAACAAACTTATTCTCACAGAGAAGGGAAACCCACCCTGAGTTTTGCCCCACATGGGTGACCTCAGACAGACTGATTTAGAATATATATAAAGAGAGTTCAGGATGTATGTGAGGCCAAAAACCTGTATACACATTTCTGTCTCAGTTCTTACATTAGTTGACTTGCTTTCATATATGTAGTGCATTTACCTTCCTTTCTGAGATTCTTTATCCATCATTCGAGACCAAGACTCTTATTTCTTTCACAAGGAAAATATGAAAAAAATTAGCCTGCTTAAAGATATCAAGAAACTTAAAACATACATCTCTTGATGTAATGTCTCTATGTCTGGAAATCTATACTGAGGAAATCAACTAAAATATGGAAAGAGTTTTACACATGGAGATGCAGCTTTATTTTAATATAAAGATTATAGTATTTGAAAATTACCTAAATGTCCCATATAATGGTTATATAAATGCTGATGTATGATATATGACAATGAAATATTATTCATTCCACTCAAAAATAATATTTAAAAAATTAATAGCATGAGAAAATTTATGTTTTATGCTGAAGAAAAGATATAAAGTACAAAATAAAATTAAATACTTAAAAATATATGCCAAAATGGTAATTATTATTTTAGGTAATTTTTTCCCCTTTCTTTCACTAGTTTTTACTTTGAAATATTACATAATGAACATACATAATACTTTCATTTAAAGAAAAATATTGGCATGTCCAAGTCAATTAGTTATTAGGCTCAGGCAGAAGAACATAGAACACAGAGTGTCCACTGGACAACTCCTCTGATTGCATTCAGTGAAGATATTTCAAATATTTTTTACTTTGAGTATTTTTATTTTTGTTATTATTTGCTGATATAAAATAATCTTCACCTTCATGTTACTTTTACCAACTCAAAACCTATAGGTATACTGCAAGTTTCAAAACTCTCTATTCACTACAATATATACAATGATAGTCTAAAACTAATAGATATTACAAGCTTATACTTGTTTATATATATTTCATACTTCCCCTAAAAAGTCTGCATCTATAAAATCATTTTGGATTTAACCATATGAATCAAATAGCTTGAAAATGTTTGGCCTCTTTGACAAGGGAATAATCAGAAATGAGAATAAATATTTATACAAGAAGTTATTAGCTGCATAATTATTTATAATGACTACTCCCTCAAAAGAAATAGTTTAATCTAGCACAGAGAAAATATTGAAATAAATGATACTATGTAAAATATATTAATTGTAAAATATTATGCAGTTATTAAAAATAATGCTTAAAAAAGAGTTTACATTGGTTCAAGGAAATGTCTCTGGTAAGAAATGGAATTAAAAACAGTAAATTCAAAATCATACAAAGAGATCTAACTTGCTATAAATATATGCAAGACTGAAAGGAAATACGTCAAAATATCAACAGGGATTCACTCCAGGATGTGGAATTATTGAGATGGTTCCTTTCTTCCTTTATCTATTTTTCTACTATTATTTATAACATATACTTAAAGTATGTTAAATTTGTAAGCAGGAAAGTAAAAATTGGAAATATATTGCTACATGAAATATTCATGTGACTGTTTCTTCGCTAAGTATTTAAAACACAAAATTTGCCTCAATATTCATTATTTTCAGCCTCTTTATAAATTCCACTGAAAATTTTATTCAAGCAATCTTTGATCTGTAGCATTTATTAATAATGCACCCCAAAGGATCATTTTCTCTGTTAAACATTTTATGAATTTCTGTTCAAAAAGAATACACAAAGTACAATAATCTTTTCATTTGCTTGGTGAGAAGAGACTAGTGATTATTTGGGGGATTAGCCTGCTTTTTCTTCTCCTTCCTACATGTATTATGCATTAGCCAAGAAATTGCCTAGAAACAGGGAACAGCCTTTGTAAGTAAATGGCTTAAACATTCACTTGAACTAAGTATTAGAGTTTCTGGGGTTTAAGTATTGTTTTAGTTTCAAATAAAAATGATAAGCACTTTTAATATTAGTGGTTTTCACCCAAATCCCAGCCTGTTATGTTTCTGGCATATTCGATGGACCCAGTCATTCGAAGCTGAGTTTAGAAAACAACACACTCACATATCATGAATATTAGCTGGGGACAGCCAAATGTTGGTGCTTGAGGGCTTCCCCTGCTTTAATTTATTCCACTCTGTGTTGTGACATTTCCAGGGGATCTCAGCCCACTTGAAACAAAAATCCTGCAAGTGTAATCCTGCTTTTTAGTGTATCATTAGCCTTCCCTATCTGTGGATTTCACATATACCAATATAGCCAACTACAGATTGAAAATATTTGGGAAAACAAATTGTGTCTATTTGCAGACTTCTTTTCTTATTATAATTCCCCAAACAACGCAGTATAAAAATTGTCTATACAGCATTAGGTATTATAAGTAATCTAGAAATTACTCGAAGTATACACAGGAGGATGTTTGTAAGTATTWTGCAAATACCACAACATTTGATCTAAGGGACTTGAACATCTTAGGGCAGGGGGTGCTCCTGGGGAACCAAGGGAAGACCACACTCCCTTTACCACTCCACTGAGCAGATAACCGTGATAAGACAAACCCCAGACGACTGCTCAACTCTGTGAAGGAACCAAGAACAGCTACCACCCTCGTAAGCAGCACTGCTGTGCAAGTGTCTCCAGGGACCTTGTTTCCTAGAAAGAATGACAGGCAGAACAACCAGGGTGAGGAACCAGGTTCGAGAAGAGGCTAGAAAGATGGCATTCATTTGCTTCATTTCCTCTTCTCCCCATTCTGAAAAGGGTTAAAAGTATTTTCTAGTGACATCTAAACAGGGATACTTATTGTTCTCTTTGTAGTTAAAATCAAAAGTAGCCAAATTAGAAATGGGCTAGTAGACATTTCAACTGATATTTTAGGGTGTAATACAAAGTAGTTGAGCCTATGTATTAAAGTCTTAAGAAAAAAAGAACATAAAATGATAGTATTCGCAGTCAAGATCAAAAGGTTGTTATTAAAGTTAAATGAGTCATATAGACAGATATATAGATATAGATACATAGATATCAAGTTCTGAAAACAGTTCTAGTAAAATGTTGGTGGTTGTTGTTATGGCTAAGCCTGAGCTTGGAATTCTCCCTTTCCTGACTTTTATACACCTTGAGCAACACTTAATTGGTAATCAGGTACTTGTTTATTACATCTCCTATCTTGTTATTTAATAGCTAAGTTAGTTTTGCTTTTCAAAGTAGATTTTAAAATGCAAGAAAGAAATCTTCTATTAATACTACCAATTACTACTTTCATATAAAGTAATAAGAAGACATACCCATTGGTCGTTGAATAGATAAATTGGATGATATAAAGCACTTTGACCAGCACCCTGCATATGGTGCTCAGTAAGAGTTAACTAATGTTATTGTAAAGTATATTTTCTGATTAGTTAATAGACATAAAATGTGCATTTAAATTACATTTAATTGTAATTGAATTTTTATAAATTTGAAACACACTAGGGGGTATATGTATTCTTCCTTCTAAAATGATACCTTTTAGAACAATCAGTGTCAACATATTACTTGAACCTATACATATATGTGTGTGTGTGAATAATAAACATTAGAAATGAATCTATGAATAATATGAATAAGCACTTTGCTCCTCAACTATTACAATTTAAATAATATTTGTTTCTTTAAGTCTTTTAAAATTTATTTTCATTGTTTTAGCTAATCATTTAGATAATCCAATATCTTGATATTTTCACTTGGGAAAGCTAAATATTCATTCAACAGTGTAATTAAACATTTACAATTTTGAGGACAAAGAGCTTCTGTTAAATTAAAATTATTATTTTAAGTATTATTAATAATTAAGAATAATTAATGCAACTCCAAGTTTAAAGTAATGAAATTCTGTGGAGAAATCAATTTCCATTAGAGTAGTTAGTTGTGGTACATACTACTAAATGAACTAGGTAAAAAAATTAAAATATAATTTATCTATTTGTTGGACTTAGATAATGGTTAGAATTCGTGTTTCAGTTAATTATATCAAAATATTTTGTAGCTTGGCATAGTTTAAGAATAATACTAATTAGATGGCTAAATTATTCTTAGTAAAATTTTTATTTTTAATAGCATCGCATCTAAATGTGTTTTTTGCTTTGTTTTGAATTATTGTGTTCTAAAATTTATAATCAATTGATTTCATAGAAATTTTGTGTTAATTGTTAAACATGGATTAATTTATTTCACCCCTATAAGAATCCTTTGAGAAGATGCTGTTATTTTCTCATTTTACAAATAAAGAAATGAAAACTTAGAGATAAAGAAGGGACAATACCATAAAAGTTTCTCATTTTTTGATAGTGGAAAATCAGATAAAAGTTATTGAAATATTAGCTCATTAGATCTCTGACACATTCTCTTGCAATTCAGGATAATGTACAAAAGTTTGCATCACAGCATCATCAAAAACTCATACCCCTGTTCCCTTGCCATAGTAATCATTTACTGGGCAAATGAATTTCATTGTATGCTTTTACAATGAAATCATAACCCAATTTCTTGCTTAAACAAAGCTTTTTCGCTAGGATCTAAAACATTCATCAAATGTTTGTGTGGTTTAGAGAGAGACTAATAGTTGTATGACTTACTGGCTCTGGGACTCTTTGCAAGTGACTTAATTTCTCCTGGTCTTACTTGTAGAATCTAAATAATAACACTTCAGAGGGCTGTAGGAATTTTTAATGCAATATCTGGTACAGAGGAGGAACTGTGTGGTCTTATTAAACTGCTAAAAGATAAATCACAAGTAGATAGTTGGAACAAGCCTAAATCTATTAATGACAATGAATATATGATTATTAACCCTCTCAAACAGAAAGCATCACAGAAAGTATCACATCCAGATGGGTACACTGATTAATTCTCCCAAATATTTAAGGAAGAAGTTATACTAATTCTCTATAGTCCCTTTAGAAGTTAGAAGCCCAAAGAATACTTCCTAATCCATTCTATGAGACCAGAAATACCCTAAAACCAAAATCAGACAAAGACATTATAAGGAAAGAAAACTACAGAACAAAATCCCTCATAAACAAAATCCCTCATAAACATAGATATAAACACAATATTGGAAAATTCAATATAGTTATGTATAAAAAGAATTACATACCATGACCAAATGGAATTTATCCCAGTTATGCAAGTCTGCTTCAACATTCAAAAATCAATTAATGTTATCCACTACAACTACAGGCTAACGAAAGAAAATCACATGATCATATTGATAGATGTAGAAAAAGTATTTGACAAAATCTGATACTCATTTATGATATAAAAAGAACAACTTCAACTAGCACCCTAAGAGAACATATTTACTCATAGTATATAATTACGAACATAATAAATACATAGAGAACATAAAAACCCTGTAATTAATGGTGAAAAATTAGAAGGGTGCCCATTAAGATCAGTCAAAAAAAGAATATTGTCCTCACAAGTGTTTTTCAACATTCTGATGGAAGGCCTTAGCTAATGAAATAAGACAAGAAAAAGAAATAAAAGGTATACATATTAGGAAGGAAGAAATAAAACTGTTCTTGTTTGCAAATGACATGATTGTGTGTGTAGAAAATCGGAATCAGGAAACAAAACACCTCCCAATACAAATAAGTGATTATAGCAAAGTTGTTGGGATGAGGTTAAAATAGGAAAATCAATTGATTTCCTATGTACTAAGCAACGAATAGGTAATTTTAAATAAAAAGAAAACATGTTATCATTTATGTTAATGCCTGCCAACTGAAATGCTTAGGCATAAATCTAGTAAACCCAGCATACCTATAAAATTCTTATGAAACAAATCAGAGAAGAACCAAATACATAGAGGCATATTCTATGCTCATAAATGAGAATATTAAAAATTGTCAAGATATCATTTCTTCACAACTTTATCTATAGAGTCAATGCAATCTCAATCAAAATTCCAGAAAGTTATTTTGTGGTTATCAACAAACTGATTCTAGGGCTGGGGTTGTGGTTCAGTGGTAGAGCGCTTGCCTAGATTGTGTGAGGCACTGGGGTTCGATCCTCAGCACTACATATGAACAAATAAAGTCCATCGACAACTAAAAAATATTTTTAAAAACTGATTCTAAAGTTTATGTGGAGAAATAAAAGTCACAGAATAGCTAACAAATTGTTGAAAGAATAAAGTCAGAGAACTGACACTACCTGATTTCCAAACTAAATATGAAGCTATAGTAATCAAGACACTGTAGTATTGGCAAAAGAATTGACAGATCAGTGGAAGAAAACAGGGAACTCAGAAATAGATACACGTAAATATAGCCAACTTATCTTTGACAAAGGAGCAAAGATAATACAACCGAGCAAAATATTCAACACACAATACCAGGATAATAACTAGACATCCAGACACAAAAGAGTGAATCACGATGTTAATTCAATAATGTATCATAGGCTTAAATGTTAAATGCAAAACCATAAAACTCTAGAAGATAACTTAGGGTAAAATCTAAATGATTTGGGGTATGGCAATTAAATTATAGATACAACAGAAAAGGCACAATATATGAAAGCTGAGCTTCATTAAAATTAAAAACTTCTACTTTGCAAAAGCAAATGTGAAGACAATGAGAAGACAAGCCATGAACTCAGAGAAAATATTTAGGAAAGGTAGATCTGAGAAAAAACTTGGGTACAAAATATACAAAGAACTCTTAAAACTCATCAATTTTAAAAAAGACCAAACAGATTTTAAAAATGGACCAAAAAAATCTGAAGAGTTACATTACCAAAGACAATRTAGAGATGGTAATTAAATGCATGAAAAAAATGTTTTATATCATCTGTCAATAGAGAATTTCGAATTAAGAAACAATGATATACCATAGCATATCTACTAAAGTGACCCAAATTCCAAACACTAACAATACCAAATGTTACTGAGGATGTGGAGCAACCAGAACTCACATTCATTACTGGTGGGAATGCAAAAGGTTTCAGCAATTTTGGAAGTTAGTTCCTTACAACACTTAACATACTTTACCCCATGATCCAGAAATTATACTTCTTAGGATTCACTCAAGTGAATAAATGAATCAAAAAATGTCATCACAAAAACCTTCACATGAATGTTTATGACAGCTTTATTAATAGTTGCCAAAAACTTGGAAGCAATCAAGATGCCTTTTGATAGATGAATAGTTAAATAAATTATTGTGCATGCAAGTAAAGGAATAGTATACAGACCCAACAAAGAGATGAGTAATCAAGTCATGAGAAGACATGGAGGAAATGTGTATTAGTCATTGAAAAAAAGCCAGTCTGAAAAGGCTACATCTTGTATTCTTCTGACTATATGATATTATGCAAAAGCTAAACTATGGCAACAGAAAAAAATAAGTACTTGCCAGGGGTTGGGAGAGTGAAAGCTGAATTAGCAGAGCACAGAGAATTTTTAGAGCAGTAAAACTATTCTGCAGGATACTATAATGCTTGATATGTGTCATCAAACATTTGTACAAACCCGTGGAATGTACAAGCATGAACCCAGGTATAAACTTTGGACTTTGTGTGATGATGTGTCAGTTTATGTTCATTGGTTGTAACAAATGTGCCACTGTGCTGTTGGATGCTCATAATGGCAGGAGGTTTTGCATGTGTGAGAAAATGGGGTGAATGGGACCATCTGTACTTTCCACTTAATTTTGCTGTGAACCTAAGAGYGCTCTAAAAATGTTTACTTAAAGAAAAGATAAACCACTGCATAAAGATTAGTTCTCACCATTATATTCAGCACAGTGGTTAATATTACATGCTCTTTAGTCAGTCTGTTAAGGTTTAAATCCCAATAACACTTTCCAGGTGATTCAGTTTCTTCATGTCTGAAATAGAGATAATAAGAGTATCTATCTCAGAGTGTTAGAGAGAAGTAAATGAGATTTAAATTGCTTAGAACAGTGCATGTCTCATAAAAAGTTTGAGTTCAATAAATCTTAGCTATTATTTCTTTAACAAATTTAAAAGTGTGTTTTATCTGCACTGTCTTATTGAATCATTCTAGCTTCCCTGCAAGGTTGAAATGATTGTCCTCACCCTACAGATAAAGAAATTACAGCTCAGAGTGGCTAAATGGTTGCCCAAGATCTCACAATTAGTAAATCACAGAGCCAAGATTCAACACTGGTTTTTGTACTTCAAATCCTGTGCACACTGATTTCTGCTACCTTTCTGATCAACTTTCTAACCTTCAGAATATCCTTGTTTCTTCACTGCATTTGATCCTGTGTTCTTCCCTTTGCAGATCCTTAGCACAACACAGAAATCAGGTTGTGGACAAGACAGGGAGTCCTTGGAAGAACCTGGAGACCTATTCCTACAACAAGTACCACCCCATGGAGGAGGTGAGCAAGGACTTTACATGGGGGAGGAGCCGGACGTCATGATTGTTTTAAGGATGCACAAGAGAGGTTTCTTTGTTAATATCCATGTCAAAATAAGGAGTTAGAAACCTTAGTTTACATGTTTGGGGAAGGGCATAACAGGGTTTTTTTTCTAATCTTAGAACATAGCAAAAGATATTGTTGGTGCATTAGTCTGCTTTTCATTACTATGATGAAATAGCTGAGGGAGATAGGCTTAACTTTATAAAGAAGAAGTTTATTTTGCTGAAATAAATTTTAAGCCTGAAAAGTCCAAAGAGCATGGTGCAGTTTCTAGTTTAGCTGCATCGGCTCATGGTGGGTGGCAAAGGCAGGATCATATGTGGGAGGAAGACATTACATCATCAAACAGGAAGCTAGAGAGACTAGGGGTCAGGCTTAGGCTTTTGTCACCATTCATCCCCAAGAGAGTTCCCTTCAGAGAACGGTTTTCCCTTCTTAGGGTAGAGCTCCCAATAACCTAATGACCTCCCACTAGGTCACACCTCTTAAAAGTTCCACCAGCTCCCACATCACCATACTGGGGATCAAGTCTCCAATACACATGAACCCTTGGAGCACAAACAACATCCAAACCACAATCATTGGGATCCATAAAGATGGAAGAAGGACCCACCAGATAAGCTGAACCCGAAATTTCTGGCTTGACTATGTGCCACAGGAAAGCAAATTCTAATGATGGTGAAAAGGTTGTGTTATACATTGTCCCTCAGTGTTCCTGGTGGATTATTAAAGTTGTTAATTCTCAATTACTTATTCATAAAGGTAGTTCAGCAGGGTGTCCTAAGACTTGTAGGCAGAGTAGAGTTTTAGAGAAAAAGGAAAGGTGGGAGAGAAATGGTACACGGGTTTGGTTTTCTGTTTTGTTTACAACAGTGTACAGTTCACTGTCTTTGTGAGAGCAAAGGTTATCTTGGAGGTAATCCAGGCTCTTCCTATTGATAGCCATGGTCCTCCTGGGCTGTTTCAGATCTATCTGTGGATGAGCCAGATCAGTGAGAAGCATGCAGAAGTGGTGACACAGCATCTCCTGGGAATGACATTTGAGAAAAGGCCCATGTATTACCTGAAGGTGAGTGAAAGGGCCAGAAGGGCCTTCCTTGGAGAACCCCTTCTCCGTCTGAGGGTCGTGTTGACGACTAAGGAAGGGCTCTATCAGAAATGTGGGAGAAGTTAAAAGGAGCAGAGCAGAAAGTCATTTTCCTTTCCACTCCAAACTGGGCTTTTGAAACTCCGAACATATTGATGTGTCTGCCTTGATCATGTGGGTGGGGCTAGAGAGGTAGGACTAAAAGCAGCAGGCCCCAGAGGCCGCCGTTCCCCACTCATGCCTCCGCCAGAGCCAGTTCACTTGCCATCTGCATTTTAAATGTTTTCTAAAGTGTTTTCTCTTTTTATAAAAAAAAAAGAGAGAGAGAAATTTTTTTTTCATAAAAGTATTTTCAAGTTGCAGACAATCTTCATTATTATTTCTTTCATTTTAAATTTGAAGTTACAAAGATCAAGAGAAGCAAGGTGACTTTTTTAAGGTCCCACAGCTGAATAATTCCACAGCCAGGGGAACAACCAGGTCTCCAGGTTCTCCTGCCCCTTTTGCATGTGACATGGTGAAAACTACTTGGACTAGACAGCCACTCTTCCACAAGGCCAGGACTTCTGGGCTCCCAGTTCTGGACCACCGGTTTTCTATCCTGGCTACACATAATAATCGCCTGGAAACTGCYGAATAATTTGTTGCCTAGGTGACACCTACAGAGATGGGGCCAGGCATGCTTTGAAAGCTCCCCAGGTGATTTCAATCTGTAGCTGAGTTAACAACCACGGCACCCAACCTGTGGTTTTCAAACGGTGGTCTTTGCACTCACAGCATCAGCATCACCTGGGAATTGGCTAGAAAAGCCTATTCTCAGGATGGATTCTAACCACGTGTGTTTTAATAATCCCTGCTAACCCTGATGCACACTTGATTTTTAGAACTACAATGTGTTTCTAACAAGTACCTCAGAGACATTGATATTGCTGGCCAAGTCCACTCTTCAGGTACCTCCACCAAAACAGTCTGGCATTAAGAAATAGTGTTATTTATTTTGCTGCTTTTATACTCCTTGTACAGATAATGTCAATCTACAAAGCAAAACCTCATATGGAGAGTGTCACAACTACTGTGTGTGTGTGTGTGTGTGTGTGTGTGTGTGTAATCAGAAATAAAATTTATCCAGGGATGAAGTAATTGGTGATGTGGAAGAACGGTGCACCTGCCAATCTGATTTTCAATAGACCCTCAACTCTGAACTAAGACAACATGACACAACATCCTTTTCCCAGGGCATGTGATAAAGCATAGAACGAGTATATAATAAGGAGGCAATAAAGGTAAACTTATAATTAACACACATGCTCTGATAAAATAGGGCAATTATTCAAATTAGGAGGTAAATTAGGAGTTGCCCTGGAAGTTTTGAAAAAATAGATGAGGTTAAGGAATTTGAATATGATTGGTCCAGCCATGTATTTATCTCAATTTTTAAGTATCTCCTGGAGGGAGAGAGCCTTCACCAGCCCAGCTTCCAGTGATTTTTCAATAAAAAGCACTGGTCTAGGCCACTAACAAATGTAAAACAGATATGACTGTTAAAGCATGGGACTATTCACAGCCCTTTCTCCACAAAGGAGAATCCACGATTGCTAGTTTAATTCCTATATGCCCACTCCTCTGAAGAAGGAGGGCRTCTTTCTTGCTGAAGTGAACGGGGACTATGTCCAAGAATAACAAACGTGCAGAGAAGAAAGAAGGTTGAGCTGTCTGGGCCTGGAGGAATCTCCAAGCAAAAGGAGAATTCCATTAGTGTTTCAGGAGATTGTGTATTTTGATGTCCTCAYGGTTTCAGGAAGGTTAAGATTGGGATTCATTTTAAATCCTTTTGATTCTTTAACATTGTCTTTTGTGAACTTTGCTACTCTGAATGAACTCTATGTATAAAACTGTCATAAGGTTTATAGGAATTTAGCCTTTTGGCTTGTGGTTTGGGGGACTTATATGTTTGTCCATCATTAGGGAATAACTTAGGGTGTGGAGAAGGCCACTTTTTGGGTGGGTGTACATGGTCCTGAGAAGAACTACCAAGGAAGTCAACAAGCAGGACACAAAGAGTAGCAGGGGGAAGGGTCACATTGTTGGATGACTCCACAAACGATGTTGTCACCTTCTTGAAACCAGATGCAATAAGAAAGGGAGATGCAGGGGGATGAACACGAACCCTAGTTCATGTTCATGAATGAACCCTAGTTTTTCACCCTGTAACAGTGGCTTACAATAATAAGTGACTATTTGGTAATCGAGCATGGATACTCCCCCTCCACAGATCAGCCAACCATCCGATAACCCCAAGAAGATCATTTGGATGGACTGTGGAATTCATGCCAGAGAATGGATTGCCCCTGCTTTTTGTCAGTGGTTTGTGAAAGAAGTAAGTGTGTTTAGTTTCTTCCTAATGGTAAAATACTTCTTAAAACACCTATTACTTCTTGGCAACTTAGAATCCATGCTCCTTTCACATGTTAACAATGAAACTCTTCACGAAACTAATCCTTTACCTCAAGTGAAGTAGAGTTAGGGGGGCTAGGGATACAGCTCAGTTGGTAGAATGCTTGCCTTGCTTGCACAAGGCCCTGGGTTCAATCCACAGCACCACTA